TGCAACAGCCCACTCTTACTGATCCCCAAGAAACCTTCACCAGGTTCCACTGACAAAAGATGGCGACTAGTAGTAGATTATCGTCAGATTAATAAAAAATGATTAGCTGATAAGTTCCCACTTCCAAGAATAGAAAATATTCTTGATCAACTAGGACGAGCAAAATATTTTTCATGTGTCGACCTAATGTCTGGATTCCACCAAATTGAACTTCATAAAAAATAACGTTTTTCAAAGAGCAATGGCTCCAAACTGATGACAATAGCATTTTCAGGTCTTAAACCTTCTCAAGCTTTCCTATAAATGGATGACTTGATAGCTATAGGCTTTTCAGAAAAACACATGATTAAAAACCTAACAAATGTTTTAGATGTGTGTTCGGAAGCTCAACCTTAAGCTACATCCAGAGAAATGTTCATTTTTCATGCACGAAGTAAATTTTCTAGGTCACAAGTACACTGACAAGGGTATCTTACCAGATGAAAAAAATACGATGTCATTGAGAAGTACCCAGTCCCAAAGGAAGCCGATAGCGCTAGAAGATTTGTTGCATTTTGCAATTATTACAGACGTTTTATTAAAAACGTCTCGGATTATTCTCGTCACATAACACGTTTATGGAAAAATAATGTAAATTTCGAATGAACAGCTGAATGTCAGTCAGCTTTTGAATACCTAACAAGTAAGAGGTTCTCGTCGGGAGCTCCCGACTAGGGGATACCCTGAACCCTCTTCTTCCAACATCAAATGCAGCTCACGCTACGCGCTCGTTTGCTTTAGTTACAATAGAGATAAATTAAAAAAAATAATTTTCGTTTGCAGGGTTCGAACTCGTAACTGACCTCATCACTTGCTGTCGACTCTACTGATCAGCCACACCAGCCAAAAATAAAAACCTTTTCCTAGGCAGGGCTCTAACTCGTAACTGACGGCGCTAATTTCCGCCGCCTCTACTCACCATCCACACCAATGGTTGAGTGTCGATGAGAAAAAAACGAATTAAAACAGCAGTACAGTAGTGTATGTACATGTATACAGAAATTCTTGGAATTTGCGTTTGCTGCCCCAAACTCGAGGCCAGCAATAACATGCTTTATTTTATAACCTCTGTGTTTCTGTGATAGGAAAGTGTCCGATTTTATTCTATAATTTAATAAATTAGAATTAAAGAAACAGGTCATAAGCTAGAGCATAAAAATCTAGGACCCTATAAAAATTTAAAAATAGAACCTAATGATAATATTATCATAAGAGAATCTAAAAATAAAAATAAAAAGTACATAAGAATAGAATAAAATCGTAAATTACATGTAAATTTCTCAGGAGATTGGTCTGATCAACCATAATAAAAAAAAGTTGAAAAGAAAAAAAATAGCTCGTAGTAATTTCACAAAAAAAAATCTTAAGAATTTTAAAACTATACGCAACAAAATAAAAACAAGAATTACCAATTTTTTCCTTGTATCAGTACTAAATAATATAGCATACATAAATACACACAAGTTAAGAACAAACAAAAAAATTATTATTTTTAAGTTAAACAAGTAAAAGGTTCTATTATGATGCTCCCAACTAGCGGATACCCTGAACCCTCTTCTTCCGACACCAAATGCAGCTCGCGCTACGCGCTCGTTTGCTTTAATAGTAATCAAATTTTTTTTTAATAGTTTCCTCAGTAGGGTTCGAAATCGCAACTGACCGCATTAGCCGCCGCCGCCTTTACTCAACAGGCACACCAGCCAAAAAATAGTTTCCTCGGTAGGGTTCGAGCTCGCAACAGACCGCGCTCCTTGCCGCCAACTCTACCCAACAACCACACCAGCAATTGGGTCTTAATGAGAAAAAAACTAAACTGTGCTGCTATTTTACAGCACAGAAAACAATACAATCGCAATTGCAATGCTGTTGATAGAATTCAAAGCAGACGATCATGAATGTGTGTGTGTACATGTATACAGAAATTCTTGGAATTTGCGCTTGCTGCTGCTGATACACGGAAAGCCAAAACACGTTTTCTTTATTAACTCCTGTGTTTTTTAACCGATCTTGACGATCTTCTACAGTATCTACATCTTATTGTTTTGTAGAATATTTGTATATTCTCAAAAAGTCAATTGCATTTAATTGTGGCTTATATTGGTGGGCAGCATTAATTGGTGTTTTCACTTGATTTATAGCTATGGGATATTAGCGGGGAGGTGGTGATAGCTATAAAATGAAAGGTACTTCATATATATATACTATTCCAGAAGCTACATGTCAAGTTTGGTGACTCTAGCTCCTATTATTTACCTCAATTGTTTTTTTTTTCGATTACTTGGAAATCAGGCACAAACTCGATCTGCGCGTGCACTAGGAGGACCTATATCTAAAATTTCAAGTCTTTAGCTCTTATAGGGTCTGGTCTCCTTGCGTTCATACATACGGACAGACGGACGGACGGTCGGACATGGCTAGATCGACTCGGCTATTAATGATGATCAAGAATATATATACTTTATGGGGTCGGAGATGCTTCCTTCTGCCCGTTACATACATTTGCACAAATACATTAAACCCTTTTTACCCATTTTTAATGGTTCAGAATTCAGGGTATAAAAACCATTACGATTTTTTTTTAAACAACAAATAACGTCATATAATTTAATTTCTTTTAAAAAGCTAGGTGTAGTCTATTCATGATATGCATTGTAACACTTTTTTACAATCTTAAATATCACCATTGATACACAAACAAAACAAACCACAGGCGCAAATCAGTGACCCGATCAAACGTAATATAATCAGCCACTTGACGGCCACCGTCTTATGCCGTCTGACCATGCTTCCCATGTGCGAATACTCGGGAGCGCTACGTGCAAGAAGTACATAGCTGCACGCGACCTAATACTTTAATAACTATATATGCATGAGTACGCTCTGTCCCTCTCAGAATATGTTAGCTTTAACATAATTATTGTTAAATTTGTAAGCTACGATAAGCTCATTTGAATTGAATAAAGAACATTCAGAAAACTACAACCAACGACTTGAAGAATGCTTGAAAGCATAGATGCCCAACTCTTCTAAATTAGAGCCATCTAGGCTTAAAATGAGTTCAGTTGGTATCCGACACTGTACCTGTATGTTGTTAACCTTTTTACATATGCATAAGCTAAAATCATATAAATAAGTGGAATCTATTGTACATCCAAAATGTTAGGATGGTGGACGATTTGCAGTCAGGTTAGCCAAATGTATAATTATAACCAATCGAATTTGAATTTGAATTTGAATATAAGCAATGTAACCATATCTTTTATAAGAAGCGAATTCGTACTGCACTAGAAGTGCGTATGCTCACAATAATTTCTAGGCTCTGAAATCGACGCGGTCATATGGACAAAACTGCCCACGCTACTGCGAGAGACCACTATTCAAACCGGCCAGTGCGATGACCTCAACCAGTCCACCGCCAATATACTGTGCGCTCCGGCACCGCTCACGGCGACAACTTAAGCTCTGAAGACATCATTAATTACATGCATTAATGAACACATGTTAGATGGCGGGTAGTTTGACAAAAATACCATTGGGTACCAAACACACATTGGGGGTAACGAGGTGCCTAAGGGTCCGAGAAACGGGTAGAGTGATCTAAGACCGCGCTCTAACGAACGTATCGTTCACCAAGCCGGCAAGGAAAAAAGAGAGTAGCGAGGAAGGGGATCAACACCGTCAAAACAAGTCAAAAAAACGTGGTGTGAGGCCATGGAACAAGCCTTGAGTTTCTTCGGACAAGCCCACAAGGCGTGCCTGTTGACCACGGGAAGGGATGTTTGACAATACTACGAGATGCGATATTTTGTCTTTATAAAAGGTTTTTTTTGTCGTTATGCATTTTTTTCTATATCTGATGAACGCACATTCCAATACATAAGGGCTAGGAAGATAACATTTTTACTGTACCTTTTGGTTTACGCAAAAAATGGCGAAAAACGATTGTATACAACTTTTTTTTTTACCATCCGATCGGCCTCAAACTTATTTTGAAAAATCTTTGTTCAAATTCATTCATATAAATCCCTGTAGCCTGCAACAGTAGTAAATTGGCAAAGATGGGTTGTAATGTTTTTTATTTAACATTTTTAAAGGTCTTTGTGAAAATTGATTTTATACGTATTTCCCACTTTTCGTAAAATCCACTCATTTTAGATGATAAACGCGGGTCAAAAATCTTTTTAAAAATCATTTGAAACGAGTTTTATAATTCTTCCAAAATGCTTGCCTCTTCGATAGAAAATTCAGTTCAAAGATTGTTTAGGTGATGCCTTTGCATTCGTCAGATCGTCTTTAATTTCTTTTCAAAGCGTTACATATGAACTTAATGAATATGTGTTTCAACAAATTTGGAAATTCCACCCGTAACTATAGTAAAATTTAATTTAAGACGTGTTTCACAAGCAAAATCTCCCTCTTTTTGATGATAAATGCGGATTGACGGTAATAGGCTCGAAGTATTAAGTTGTGTCTGATAGACCGAAAACGTACTTTTAAAAGCTTTTGATGATTATCGGTTTCTAAATAACTCACTTTCAACTATCTTTGAGTGTTTTATCTGAGAAGTGCTTTAAAATTTTCGCAAAATTCGCCTCTCTCGGATAATAAATGCTGGTGAAAGGTAATAAGCGAGAACTTTTAAGGATTATGAAACGGCCTCTAACTTTTGCTTCTTTATGGATGGACTATAAATATAAACATTATTTAAAAATATCCACTACGTTCAATTTCAAGTCTATAGCTTTTATAGGCTCTGAGATCCTTGTGTTCATACATACGGATAGACGGATGGACAGACAGGCGGACATGGGTAGACCGATTCGGTACAAATAAAGAGTTTCGGGTATAACTATTAATAGCGTTTCGGTGTTAACATTTTATTTGAATATACTTATTTTTTAAAAGTTAATGTACGTAGTATATATCCTAGAATAAATACTACATGTAATTTGTAAAATTACCTTTAAACGCTTATCCGGCTGCTTTTTCAATTCAGCAACAACTGATATAATTTCATTGCGATTATTTGTCACTCTTTTTTCCTTGGGAATATTGGAAATTATCCGTATTAAATTTGTATCAATAACATCACTCCACGCAATTGCTAAATCTTCGACGGTTTGTCCTACAATAATACAAAAAAAGAAATAATTAAATCTTTTACATAAGTAATTCGTAAATAATGATAGTACGATATTTAAAGATTTTGACAAAATTTCCATGTAAGCTGAGAAAAAACATGCTGCTAGCAAAAGATTTACTGTTGTCTTTGCAGTGCTTGATTATTTTAAGTGCCGCGGATGCTACGGAATCAGTAATAAAAATATTTTCGAACAAGCATGCTTTCTTAAAATTGAAAAAAAAATGTTTCTTTCGTCAGGATAGATAGCAAGACGGGCATTGCAGTAAGCCAATTTTAGTTTTGTGAAAAAAAAATTATGATATAAAGGGCAACGCTTAAACCTTCTTTATGAAAAGCGACCTTAAATATGGTTTGATTTTAATTGTTAATGTTATTATAAATTAACATAAAACGACCTTATTGGTCTCCTAGCTATAATGTAGTTCCTTTGATATTCTCAACACATATTTAATCTCTAAAATGAATTTGTGGAGATTTAGGCAACAAGAAGCACGGGTCTGCTTAGCAAGTTTTAGGTGGAACCAAAGAGGCCAAAATATTGGGACATTCAAGGCTCACAGTGGTTGACAAATTTATTTCGACGAACACTTCTTTTGACTAACAGCTTAGTTAAACTGCGTAGGATAACGGTTAATTTATTTTGCGAGAAACAAAGTGAATAACAACAAACTATCTAGAAAGGTTAAACAAAATATATACAAAATAGAAAATAAACAAGATTTTGTATCGTCCAAAAAATGTATTTCGATCGCTGTAAGTCCAGGGTTTACCCGATACGGTTTTATCCTTATTCAAAATACACCTAATCTAAGAAAGAAGTAAGCTACGTACAAAAATGTGATTTTTTTGGGCCATTTTTGTGTAATTTTTTTCTGCCATTACAAAAAGTAAAACTAGTATAACTTATTCGTTGAATTTTTTATTATTTAATTATTATATGAGAAGTAAGCACATAAGCGAATTTATTAAAAATCTAAGATATTATACCGGTAGAACCCAGTTTTGAATCTGATTATACGACCAGTAAATTACAATGCCGTAGCGAACAGAGATCACACATTTTTAGAATTTACCGATGCAACGCTGATGTAACTGACGAAAGCTGACAACTGTAGGATTAAATATGTCGCATTTTGATACACGGAGAAAGGTACCCAATTAATCTCCTGCTTAAAACTATGCTATTGCTTATTTTGTATCAAAGGGCTAAAATGGCAGCTCGGACCCAAAAAAATTATTACATATTCTTATCAGCATGTCAGCATTAACAGTCAAATCGATATAAACATGTCCGTCTGTCTTTCTATCAGTCCGTATGTACGAACGCATCGAACTCGGAACCTATAAGAGCTAGAGACTTGAATATATACTAATGCTTGCGCTGTACAAGATAATTTAAAATTATCCATTATTTAAATGAAACCGATGAAAATCGATATCAAAATCCGGGTTTTTGCGAATATCTCCGAGCTTATAGGAGGTAGAGACACTACATTTTGAATAGAGTATACTAAGAAACCATTTGAAAATTGATAAAAAGGATACGATGATACGATACGATCTAGTGCAGATGTATGAAACGCAACCAGAAAGTATAAATATTATTGGCGACCAACAATATCCTGTAACGTAATTATACTATATGGTAATAAGCTAACAGGATGTCCTCACCATATGGAATGGGAACCTTATCTAAACCAAGGATGAACAGAAAGGCAAGAAGCATTGCAATTGTTATAAGTGAATTACATTAATTTGTGTCGGCTGGCCAGAAGTATTTCACAAATGATTTCGATGCAGCCAGTTGCATGTTATAATTGTGGAGTCGTGGAATAAAATGTTCTTTCCGACAGCACAAGCAGCCACACAAGCAACGCTATTGACATACAAATGACAAACTAAGCATGTGATATAACCTGCTCCGGCCCCCACCTACCCAACACTACTAATGAGCCAATGCAAGAACCAGCACTTACGGCGAGGTCCGATAAACTAAACTAAAATAGAAATATTATCATATATTAAGAAAAATGTAAGTAAGAAGCGGTAACTTAACTGCGGGTCTATGGAGGCTTGATAAACCTATAAAATACATTAGGTATGCGCAATTGTGCAAAACCTTTTTTTAAATATTTTCCTATTATAATAATATATATAATATATATATATATATATATATATATATTATATATAATATATATATAATAATATATTCTAAGCCAAATATTTGATTCGCAATTTAGTTGAAAATTCGGTAATCAACGCTCAAACTATAGATCACTCTTCATAGAAAATCTTTGGCTTTTGATCCTACTTGTCATTGCACAACAGGCAGATTAAAAAAACTATCTAAGTTCTATGCACGAATAAAAAACGTAATCCGTACACATTTGAAAAATGCTGAATAATAACTATTTTAACTCAAGTAAATTTTCAAATTTTAATGTCAAGTAAATAAATAGAATGGAAGAAGAATACAATCAAATCTTAGACACGATACTATTTTGCAATATAAGTGGATTGGGAGTAGGATTGATTTACTTAAATACTTTCATACTAATTGAAAGAATATTTAAGAGAAACAGAAGATATACAAAAATGTAAATACCAATTTCCTTACTAAGGGAAGTTCCACATGGAATTGCCTTAAATAGTAGAAAAAATCAAACATCTATGTACTTCATTTTGAAAAGACATATAAGTATCTATCTATCTAATCAAATACTTGTAAATGAATACAAGGAAATCAGAAGTTTAGTTTAACTAGTTTACAGAGTCCAAGCTTCAGAAACATTCCAACATCTAGGGGATAATCTGTTAAACTTAAATGAAAAGTACAATCTTAACTACTATTTGCCATCAGTACTAAAATCGCTGGTAACTTTTGATTGGTCACCCCTGCTACAGCTTAAGGAGGACGAGAAACTACAATCAAATATCTCTAAAAATTCCGATGTAAAATTGACGAAATTCCATGTTGATTTACGGAGAACAGCATCAAGGCTTATTTCAGAATTTGACGGAATACACGAGCTTTACAGTTTTTCGATGCGAATGAAATATTTGTCTCGATAAAAGGATAACATGAAAGTTTGACAGTATCTGTGCTAAAACAGAAACTAAAAGATGATGCAAGAATCTTGATACAGAATTAGATACTGAACAACACTAAGATCAGTATCAAGAAAGCTTAGAGCATCAGTAAAAGGCGAATGGCGAATGGTAAAAGAATATGGTTATTGAGCACAACAATCATGAAGGCCTATCAGAAATATAAAACTGCGAGCACGTATACTCAAGAGATATAGCACCACATCAGTGGTAATTGCATATGTTCTTTTGATCATCGTCTTTCACTGACTCTAGCAAATAAATATTCCACACAAGCTGTCCAGCAATGGTAAAAAATTACTGCCTAGACAAAGTAAAGCTTATAATAGAAGCCGGATAGCTAAATAACATGAATGCTGCTATTTCTAAATTTAGTAACAGCGGCACCGATGCAAATGGGCAGCTACAGTTCTGTATTATAGCAATCGGCATCCCAGTAACTAACGTTGAAGCAATAGAAGCAGGTAGTAACACAGGTAGTAAAAACTATCGTGTTCGAAACAACCAACGTAGGCAAAACTACAATAACAGAAGTTAATTAGTGCCCCTTGCACGTAAAAAATTTTGTACTTTATTAGTAATCTCCGCATTGGTGAATTGCACTCATGGTGCTTACACAGCGAATGCTTCAGTTCAGCGCCCTGATCGCAACGGTAAGCCACGGTAAGCTGTTCCTTTGCATGTTTCGCAAGAGCATCGTTATCACCTATGCTGAGTCGACTTACCGGCTATAGCTTTGTAGTTTAATCTTTTTGTAGCTCATGACTATTTTGTAGCTTATGCCTCAGCTCGCTAGTGGCTTTAGTTTTAGTTCTGCTTAGCTTAAGCTTAAGCCACAAGACCAGCATTCTACACAAGTAAAGTCGAGCATCAATTCATAATGAGATAGCAGGGCGCCTACTGATACAATTACTGGATAGTAGACTCAATTTGTATAATTTACATACAGCAAAAGTAATAACAGAGTAACAGAGAAATAACAAACACCCTTAGGATTGTAAAACAAAGAAAACTTAAATTTATATTCTTAATCTCAGTAAAAGAACATTAATAAACGGTACAAATAAAAATACAAATAAGAGGTTCTAGTCGCGAGCTCCCGACTAGGGGATACCCTGAACCCTCTTCTTCCAACACCAAATGCAGCTCGCGCTAGGCGCTCGTTTGATTTAGAAGTAATAAAAAAAATAAATTGGTGTTCGAACTCGCAACGAACCGCACCACTTGCCGCTGCCTCTACTCAAGGGCCACATCAATAATTGAGCTTTAATGAGAAAAAAATCAATTAAAATAGCAGCATAGAAAACAATACAATCGCAATTGCAATGCTGTTGATAGAATTCAAAACAAACACGCATGAATGCATATGTGTGTACATGTATACAGAAATTCTTGGAATTTGCGCAGCAGCTATGCTGCTAACACGTGCGCACATAACTTTTGTGTTTCTTAACCGATCTTAATGAAATTTTCGACAGTACATCTTATTGTAGAATAGAATAAAGAATATTTGAGTATTCTCAAAAATTCAATTGCATATAAATTGTGGCTTAAATTGATGGGCAGCATAAATTGGTGTTTTAACTTGATTAATAGCTATGAGGTTGAGCGGGGAGGGGGTGATAGCTCTAAGATGAAAGATATATATATATCTATCTAAAATGAAAGATATATATATCATATATAATATTTTAGAAGCTACATATCAAGTTTGGTGACTCTAGCTCTACTCTTTGAAACGGGGCAAGTTATCGAATATCGTAAACAAACTAGGAGGACCTAGAGCTATAATTTCAGTCTGTAGCGCCTATAGGTTCTAAGATCCTTGCGTTCATACAAACGGACAGATGAATAAACGGACGGACGGACAG